AATTTAAAATACCAATTATATTATTAATGCAAATGCATTTATTAAATATATTTAAGTAATAATAACTATATTAATTGCATTAAGGCAGGGTAAAACTATAATTAAGATCTTATTAGCTCCATATTACTTATTAAGAAAAAGGGTAGGAAGGATAATAGCATTATTTAAAGCATTATCGCTATTCTCATTATAAAAGCTTATGCCCCTTATAGAATAATAAGAGCAAATTATAATGGAAATTATTTATACTTATAATGCTTTTACTTAAGTATTTAATATATTTTTAAGTAAATAAATTAGCGCCTAAGTATTTAAGATATGCATATAATAAGCTATTTTGCAATTAAGGATAATTATGTTAATCTTATCTTATAAGGGATATTATATACTTTTATTTTAAATAAGAAGGGCTTATCTTATATTAATATAACCTTAACTTTTATTAAAAGAAATGTAATTAATTAAAGATTATTAAAGTATTAAAGGAATGCATTAATTATAATAAAAAGTATTTTAATAGGTATTATTAAAACTAACCTTGCTATTAATGCATCTTAAACTCTACTTAAGGTCTTATAAGCGTTATACTTACTTGCATTTATTATTTTCTTAAAAACAGCAATATAATTAAAAATTAGTACCTTGCCTATTAAACCTTAGGCGTTATAGCAGATAAATACTTGGATTCTTTTATTATTTTAAAAGAAAATTAAAAATAAATCCTTTAAAACTTATATAATAATTATAAGAAATAAAGCAAACAATAGGCCTATATTGCTTAACTTGCTTATTTTTAGCCAAGCCTTATTAAGGAACTTAGCCTTAAATAATTTTAAGAACTTAAATGGCGCATATAGTTTTAATTTAACTTTCCTTATAAAGCTATTAAAGTTTTAATATTAAGAGCGGGATGCTTATATATATGGCATGCTTTATATCATAGCATTAAACATTAAATTTTAAGTATCCGCATTTTAAATATTAATAACCTATAAGCTATTTATAATTAGCTAGCTAAAGAAAATTTAAAGTTTAAGATAAAAAATTTTAATACTTTTTAGCTTAATTAGTTAATCCTTATAACTTAAACTTATTTTATTTAGGATAATATTTAGCAAAGGATTAGCCTTGCCTACCCCTATAAGGAGCAGCGCTTCTTTACTTATATTTACTTTTAATTTAATTACTTATTAAATAAGGGAGTTTTTTAAATCTATAATAATAATTACAGCGCTTAATCCTAATGCAATGCCTACTTTTAAGGATTTTATTATTATATTTTCACTAAATAACAGCTCTTTAATAATTAATGCCTTAATAATCCTAATAATTTCAATTAGTTTAATGGCAATAAAGACTTAAATATTTAACGTTATATATATAAACTTTATATTAATAATAATATTGCAAAATTTATTAAATAAGGATTTATATATAAAAATGCCTTTAAGTCCTTTTAAACCTAGGCTTAAACTATTATATTTACTGCCCTTATTAATATTTTATTTAACTTAAATTAAAAAACCCTTAAAGACTATAATGCCAAGAATAGTTTTAATCCTGCCTTATATGCTAAAGCTATATATATGCTTAACGCTAAAGAATAATAGGGTGCTATTAACCATAAAATTAAATTCCTTTAAGAAAATAACGTTTTTAAACTTATTTCTTACTTTAAATTACTGCTTAAAAAGCATTTTCTTTAGTAAGATTATCTTTAAGCGCAAGGTTGGTTTTAAACCTATAATAAGAATATATTAATATAAATATAAGGCTTAGCTTATTATAAAGGGCTTTTAGCAAAAGAAAGGCATTAATTATAAAGAAATCTTTGCTATTATTATTAAGTCTTCCTTATATAAAACCCTTATTACCGTTTTTATTACTTTAAGATAGCTTATTTACCTTATGGACGTTAAAATTACTTTTCTTTATAATATCTTAAATGTTTTAATTTATATAAAGCCTCTTGCTAGCTTTAAGGTCCTTAAGGTGTTATGGGCTAGCCTTGGGTTGTCTGCTGTAAGGTATTTAAATAGGGTTTATATTTAAAGTGCAAAGAAAAAGGTTTACTTCCCGTTTGCATTTGCGTTAAAGCTTATTCTTATAGGGCTAAAGCCCATTAACTAATTATAATAAGCAAAGCCTAAATTATAATATATCCTCCTTTTCTAAGTTTTTATAGTAAGCCTTAAAGGGTAATTATATAATAAAAAATAAAGGATATTATAATTTAATTATAAATTAAATATTGCTCTTTACTTAGCTATTTAATTATACCTTAATGCCTTTTAATTATGCTAAAGGCTTAGCTTATTATTTATAATTAATATGCTTTAGCTTTTATAATTTAATATATTAATTAAAGTAAGTTAATAAGAAATAATTATTTAAGTATAAGCTAGCGGCTAAATTAATAATATTCTTATAATTTTTTAATGCAAGCCTTTTATATAAGCTTTCTTACTTAAAATCTTAAAACCATAAATTTATTATATAATTTATAATTAATTAATGCTTAATTACGGATAATCTGCTTTATTAATAGGAATTTCTTAAATTTTAAGCATTTTTATAGCGCTAAATTAGCTAATATATAATTAATTCGCTTTAAGCTTAAGCCGGCATTAAGTTAGTATTACTTTTAAGCCTTACCTTATAAAAAAAAATTTTACGCCCCCTTAAATAAACTCCTTCCCTTTATTAACCTTAGTTAATAAAAGCTGCATCCTTATTTTTTTATAATAATTAAGATAGTTGCGCTTATAATAGCTAAGTTAATTATATGCGAAATACTTAACTTCGCTTATTAAAACCGCTATAATATTAATATTTATTGCTTTATTATTTTAAGGTTAAGTATTATTCTTCCTTGCTATAATGCTAAAAATGCCCTTATATTACCGTAAGGTAAAATAAAAGGCCTTAAATATATTTAACTATTCCTTATAATTAAGCTAGGCTTTTATTATAAAGGTTAAGCCATTAGCTATTAATAATATTTTGCATTTATTTAGTTAACTTTAAGTTTTTGCTATATAAGCTAATTAATTAAATTAAGTAAGAAATTTTATTATTTTCTTTTTATAGCATTATTATAACGTAATTAAGCTAAGCTTAGTATATCTTTGCTTAAAAGGGTTTTTAAGCGTAAGATAAACCTTCTTTAAAAAGCTTTTTAACTATTTTTTAAATATTTTTATAAAATTAATATAAGGTAAAAATTAATTATAAAAAGTTTTTAGCTAATTAAATATATAAAAGAATTAAGTCCTTTTAGCGCTAATTATTTTTTTATTTATTATAAACTTAACTTTTATCTTTATTAGTTAAGTTGCTAGGTATTCTTAAGATAAGAGTTTCTTTAAATAAGGAAGAGCTTAATAAGTTGCTATTATTTTTTTTAAGTCTTGTTATATTAGGTTTTATATAATTATATTATAGGTTTATAATGTAAGAGGACTTTAAATATATATTATGGGCTAGCTTTGGGTTGTTTGTTATAAGGTGTTTAAATAGGGTTTATATTTAAAGTATAGAGAAAAAGGTTTACTCCCCGTTTGCACCTGCGCCGAAGCCTATTCTTATAAAGCCAAAGCCCACTAATTAATCACAATGAGCAAAGCTCAAACCGTAATATAAGGGCATAATTCTTTTCCTTTAAAAGTCTTTATATAAATTAAAGTAATTTCTATGCATTTAATATAAAACTTTATTTAATACCCTTATGCAAAACTTTAGCTTTTGCATTTCTGCATATAATTAATATATCTTTATTTAAAATAATATTATTATTATTATATAAGTTAATAACCTACTTATTAGCGCCTTAAATAAGGATAAAGCTGCTTATTTTAAAGAAGCTATATTTTAATAGTTTAAGATAGTTAATAAGGGTTTTTATACCTTTTACTTTAGTATAAATATAGAGTAAATTAATAATGGGATCCTTTTTTATTAAGCTTATTATATTAATACTTGCATTAAGTGCTTTAAGCTAAAGAAGCTCCCTTTTTAATAAACCCCTTTCCTACCTAATGCCAGGCTAGTCTTAAACTTTAAGCAAGCCTTAAGGGATAATATTGCTTATTTTTCCTTTTTTATTAGCTTAAAGAATTAGCTTGCTAATTAAACCCATTTTAATATTATATATACCACTAGCCTCCTATTACGCTTTACTTTTAATCCCTTATAAGAATATATTAACGCTACGTACTATATTTAGGAATATTTCATAATAATTAAGTATTATAACATGCTTTATTAATAAATAAAATCGCTTAATCTTTTTAGCTATTTTAACTTTAATTATGCCATATATCTTAAAACGCAATGATTTACTATAAGATAAGTTTTTATATTAGTAAGTGCTCTTATTTCATGGTATTCCCAACGCTAAAAATTAACCGCTTTCTTTATAACTTAAGCCAAATGAATTACAGGTATTAAGGCAGCATGCAAAGCTATATAGCTAAGATAGTTTATTAACAACCTAAAGATCGCTTTACCTATTAAGAAGGTTCCCCTTTTTCTTAATAATAACGCCATTAAACATTTATTTAAGAATCTTAAATTCTATTAATAAATTAAGCATATTAAGGTTTATTTTAATTTTCTTCAGGAATATATTACTTAGGAGAAAAATATTTTAATTATTTATATAGATTTTAAGCATAATATCGCCAATATATTTATTAAGGCTTTATTCAAGCTATAATTCATTTATTTTCTTTATTTAGCCAGGATGGTAAATGCAAAGAAGGATTTTATGGAGAATTTTATAAAGCAAAATGCTTAAGAGGAATCCTCTTGCTCTTAAAACTAGGTTTTTAAGCTAAGGGAAGTATTGTTTATAGGGACTTAAAAACATTAATCTTATCCTTTTACTTATAAGATGTGATCTTTATTAGTATATGATTACTTTAAAGATTAAGATCGCTTTTTATGTCTTTCTGGAAAGCCTAGCCTATAAGCTAAATACATGCATCTTCCAGAAAGCTTTAAAGCATGGTGTAATAGTTGAATAGCACAACGTTGCCGGCTATGATCGGCCCATTGCCAGTTATGGTCGAGCCCGCCTCAAAAATGCGGCCAGAAGTTCTGCGTTTATCAGGCCCGCGTCAGCAAGGGCCCACTCTTAGGGAGTGCATGGCCATTGGGTTGGTTTACACCAGTTCAATCAAATTGGAAACGGACATACTCATTAAATGTGAACTGGGCCGTGTACTCTAGTGCCGAGGAGAGAATAAGGGCTGCGCGCGAAACAACGGCTATTAATACTAGGTAGGAGTCCGATCCATCTTCCGGAACAACGGTAAGGTAGAACTGGTCCGAGAGGGCGAGTCCGCCTATAGCGAGCGGAATTGTCAAGAACCAGGAGGTGGGGAAACGCATCTTGACCAAGTATTTGTCTGTGACCTGTGGAGAGAGCGAGCGAGCGAGCGAGGGTCTGGTTATGCACTAGGAAGTGATTGTTGTCTTTGAGGGAAAAGGTCACTGCTGTATTCGTCAGAGGAGACGAGCGACGAGCTTGATATACGTATTTTCCAGTGCGGCTTGGCCGTCACTCTCACATCAGCCATACTCGTTGCCAGTCCCGGTCGGTGGACTTATTTCAGCCTGCATGTAGTGGTTAGGCTAGATACGGAATCTAGATTCCATCATCAGTACCAGCCCTATGCAGGCGTGCCGTGATTTTGGCAGGCTCGGTGGCGGTTAGCATTTAGGCGTGTGGCTGTAGTGACCGCCGCACCGAAAGATTTCGTCTTTAGGATTCACATGGCGGTCACCGGTGAGAAGCAGGTATTGGATAGTTCGCACTTAGGTACAGGAATGGGACCATGAAATTTTCAGAAGCGAAGCTTGTCTGCATAGGGCAATCGTCACACACGTGCATGCGTTTGTACTCGCCAGACAGATGTTCTGGCCATTTCTGGCCGCAGGAGCACCCGACCACATCTCCTTGATGAGCATTCACTAGTGAAAATCTACTGCATATCTGGTCTGTGGACAAGGATTTTATGCCTCAACGACGCTTGATGATCGCCTGCATCTCAACCGGCTCACTAAACCGAGATCCTGCGGGCTAGATGGTGATGGTTCGCATGCAATCCTGCAGGTCTGCCCCGATGCGACTCTATGGCAGCAGTTTGTCATACGAGCGTCTACACCGAGTAAGCTATTTCAGAAGAGCGGCGTGTTCCCAACTGCTGAGAAATGAACAGCGGTCGGACAACAAGGAATGACAAGGGTTTGATAGTGTTTTTGGTGGGCCGATTGCTGAAGGAAGCGGAATGGATAATGCAAGGCCCACCTGCATGCATTGGTACGAGAATCCTGTACGCTAGCGTCTTCCGAAACTCGTAATATTTTCAATAGGCAGGTGTCAGCTCAAGATATCGTGCTTGATGCGTTGCTCCGTGAATTGCTGCACATACGGCAGCTCCCGTGCGTACCAGATCTAGGAGGCAGTCAAGTTCCAGTGTATGTCTAGTTTCCTTTCCACAAGAGGCTCACGGTGATGGAGTGGAAGTAACACTCATCAACCTTGATCTTTCTTCTTTTTTTATAAGGGCTACTGGCGCACATAATACAGTCTCTTGCGCATAGATCTAGGTACTTCGGTCAATTTGCACCTATCGCTGACCAGAGTGCCTCTCAGTCTCGTCCCTTGAAGCAGCATTCAGATCGTTCGCCTTCTCTCCCACCCGTGTTGGAACCCCCTCATCCCCTGAAACAGTAATCGAGCCGGACTCTTCATGTTCCCTTCGACTCACAGTTACCGTATTTCCCTGCGTCTCTTCCTTCCTCTGGAGACCCTTGTCCTTGATGAAGAACATCAGCAGCCAGCATAAACCCATGCATCCTTCCCAGAAGTAGAAGACAGATCTTGATGCCCTCGTATACGTGTCGAGGATGATGATCCGTTGCTCCTCCGTCAAGCCAGAGATGTCTGGCATCGAGAATACAGAAGATTTGATCTCATCCACAACGTCCGCCGGGACAGCTGATACGGAGTTTATGTGCCCGACCAAAGTATTGGAGAAGAGAGCTGAGGCAATGGCGAGACCAGCGGCGCCGCCTAGAGCGCGCAAGAAATTGCGCGAACTGATCACAACAGCCCGGTCCTGCTTAGCAGAGTGCGCCTGGGCAGCTACAAGAGCTGTGCAAGACTGAGTTAGCAAGTCTTCCGATGCGTCGTGGAGGAATTGATGCGCAGAACTCACTCGGCTGAAAGGTGAAGCCAACGCCCATTCCCTGCGCGATGAGAGTTACAACGATACCCGCCAAAGGGAAGTCCCCCGAGAATCTACTCTCTACAGCAGCTGCTATAACCCACAACGAAAACCCAACCCAGATAACCTCGCCATACCTATTGGTTCTAGACATATACTGTCCACTTGCAACCGATGCGAGCGATTGTGGTAGGACAATGGGGAGGATCAGCAAGGCAGACTGGATCACTGTCATCTGCCGAGCAGTCTGATAGAAGATGGGTAAGTAGTACATGATGCTGTAATAAGCGAGACCAATGAGAAAATTCTGGACCATCATGGCTGCTAATGCGGGTTTCTTGAAAAGGCGGACTACCTGACACGTTAGTAAAGCTTTCAACACGAGAAGTAGCCATCAGTTGTACGGGACTCACGTGGAAACATTGGGAGCTTTGCCACCTTCCACTCGTTTAACCCAAAGAGAAGCAGCAACACGGACCCAATTGTCAACATGGCAATTGTTTTGGGGCTTGAAGATGGAAATTGGGTGCCTATGCCTGAGACAGGGATAAGAAACAGTATTGTACCGGCTGAGCTGAACATGATTCCAGCATAATCAATCTTGGCCAGCTTTGCCCTCAGAGGCTCCGGAGGGATCGTCTGTGGCGGGAGCAGGAAGTAGAGGATCAGCCCGGAGCAGACAGCCAAGGGGCAGAGCAGCCAAAACAAAGCCCGCCAGGTGACCCTCTCGGTGAAAGCCGAGGAAATAAATGGCCCGACTGCATTGCCCAGCCCTATACACGAGCCGAGTATTCCCATAAACTTCCCTCGCTGCTTCAAAGTCGTTACATCGCTGACGACCATCATCGCGAGCGCCATAATGCCGCCAGAAGCAACGCCGCTGATACCCCTGAAGGCGAAGAACTGCGGGCCCGTCCTAGCGAACGAACAGAGGAGATCTCCGAGAGCAAGCAGCCCGAGGCATGTGACGAGCATCACCTTTCGGCCGAATATGTCCGAGAGCCTTCCTGTTTTGTGTTAATCACCTGCTACGAGTCCTAAAGTGATATATTGTAGAACGTTTTGAAACACGACAATCAGGGAATCGCAGCAGGAGAAGATTTATGCTGACCATAGAGCACCTGAAAGGCGGTGTTGGCAATGAGCGATGAAGTACCGGCCCATGTAATTGTGGACGAGCTATTCAAGTCGCGTCCGATAGTGGGCAGGACAACGCCAATAGATTGCTGATCGATAAATGTGATCAGGAGAGCCGACGCCAGAGCGCTGAAGACGATGATCAACCTGCCAGTGGGCAAGATATTAGTCTGGTCGTGGAACGCGGGCTCCGGCTTGGCCATCTCTGCCGGGAGGTCTTTTCCAAGTCGTCACTCCGGGACCGGCCCTGGTCGGTTGGCAACTGCAAAGGACGGACGCTCAAAAAGGCTGTTGTGTGTTTTCAAGCGCATTGGGGCACGCAGCTGCATGGAGTGGACTGTTGGGGTTGGTTTCTCTGGCGGCGATGATGTATTCGACTCCCAGCCAGCGAGGAGAAAATTTTGAGACGCAAAGGGCCGAGAAAGCGGCATTTATAATCCGGCAATCGCACCGGCCCCGGTGGATGATCGACAATGGATCGCCGGACTACCGCTTCGGAGATACGAGTGCTTTTGTAGCTTGACCTTTGGAGGTGGAAAAAGAAACGTTTGACGGACAGGAAATTTTTGACGCCGTGCTTTTCGGTCATGAGGAAAAGATGTGATTTTCGTCCAAGTTCAGAGACGAGAATGTAAAGCAGCAAAATTGACTGGCAGGATGAGGGTTGGCTTTTTCTGCCTATAGAAAGGACGAATATGTGTGGCGTTGAGAAAACTTAATATAAGCGGGTTCGCTTCATACAAATTGGGATTGTAAAGCCGTCCGCAAGCTCTTGGATGAGTCTCCATTCGTCCCGGGTATTTATTCCATTTGGGGGCCTTTCCTTGGAACGGTTGCCATTCGAGGTCTCTCCGACGGAGTGAACAGGAACAAGGGTAGCAAAGAATGACCCAAGTCACCCAACCCCGCAACAGACTGCTCTTTGCTTCGCTCAATCTAACCAGAGCAGTACACTAGGTTGTACTGAATTTTGAGCGTGCCTTGGCTGAATTTTGGCTGAGTTACATCATATATGCACCCGGAGGCACACAATCCAATGCGGATTAGCACGATTGAGGTACCTGTATGTTACGGACCAATCTCCACACGAGAAACATATTGCATCCATTTGCCGTACCAAATCAAGTGCAGCAAACAGCGCCCCTTGCAAGCCCTGATTAATCTTCGCTACGCTTAGCAAAGGTGAGGATGAGTATGAGCACTGCCTCGTACCTTCGTAACCCCGCTACCCTCCGCCCTAGGCATACAGAAGCAACCATCTGTTTCTGAAACGGACTTGCTCCGAAACTTGTACGTGTGAGGATGTCAATACGGCATTATTATCCGAGGGGACTGGGCTGCCTATCCTTGCTTTCTATCTCATCTTCCATTCTGACTTATCATTCCTTTTCCATTGTAAAAGCCGGAACTGTTCAAATCGAGAACACAATTGTGGCATTCAATCTGAAGCGGGCTTTCATGGAGATTTTTCACGAGAATCGGTGTGACTCATCAATGGATGTTCAACCTCCCGCAAGCATCTAGGCAATACCTTATGCAAACTGGCCACAGATCTGTGCCTTTTGACTCAGTCGGCCTCCCCTAACCTTCTTTGTCTTCAGAAAAGAAAATCTATGTGATGCTCCCGGCCAACAGAAATAAACAAGACAAGACTTTTCCGATGTCCGTGATTTGCTAAGTTCGGGTGCTCGACGGAGGTTCTCGAGCCACAAAATCTGCCGCCGCATAGAAGCTTATTGCCTCAGTCGCGGAGTTCTGAAAGTCATCCGAGACTCTCGTCCCTAGGATTGTTGAGACAAAACGACGCGCTTATTTTCCCCTTTAACCCGTGGACCACTCGACCTGAGGCTCATTTCCGTATCCGAAGTCCAGGCTGAACCCTACACCAACAATTCCGGCCGCTACCAGACCTGCACATTTTGCAGCACCTCCAATCCCTGGCACCGACAACCTTCTTTTGAGGACACGCTTGGTTCGTTATTAAACCTTTGGTGCAGGGCATCGTGTCCTCTTCCAATAGGGTGGTGTTGCAATGGATGCAACGAAAGTAGCAATAAAGCAGGAGGCACATTGTGTGACCAGGCGCTGCCGCGGTATTTGTGGAGCAGCTCTCGTGGATTCTGAAGAGGTGTGGTAACTTAAAATTCAGTCTTCATGTGGGACTAGGCGTGTCTCTTGGTGGGGTTGGTTACCACGCGATTTGGGATGGATGTAAAGTGAACTTTTATGCTGCGAGCTGAGGTATATAATCGGCGTTGGGACACTTGCTTTGTAGACAAGACGACAAGTCCGATTTAAACAGAGCGTTGTGAGTCAGTATCGGAGATATAGGTTGGCTTGAAAATTCGAACATCAAGCCGAAGACATTGAAGATTGGGACAAAGAATAGCTTGTTGCCTCACTCGGCCAAGTCCGCCTTCCTGCGAACGGTTGACCGTAGAATAGCAGACGGCACAAAGGGGCAAGGGAGGAGAGATTACAAATGTCAGACAAGCCGAAGACGTGCGTTCCGAAGAATGATGTCACGCCAAAAGCAGATATGCACAGCAATGCCCGGTACTGGCAAGTAGATAAATCATACCCCTCCAGCGAAAGAATCCAGGTCTGCAAACAGCTGCTGCCATCCATCGTCCGTGGGATTTGTCTCGAAGAACTCGTCCCAGATCCCACCCAGTCCGATTGGATCCATTACCGCCGCACCAAAGCCCCAGCCCTGTGGAATGCCATGTTGTTGTCCTGCAGGGCCCACAGAGATTTCCGCCATCGGCAGAGCCTGTTGCAACTTCTGCACCGAGTTTTGGTCAGGTGCGGCAAGCGTGCCAGTCACGGGTGCATCCTGGATTCGCAAGCTTCTGCCGTCACTCTCCACTCCGTGCACCCTGTGTTTTCTCAAGACACCGACCAGCCGTCGCACCATTGCAGCAGCCATGCCGCTCTTCTCGCCCGCCTTCTCGAGCAGCCGGCACGCATTTGCCAGCGCAGCCCTTCGGCGCTCTGTTCCAGCATCTGCGTGCGTGCTTGTTGCCGCGCCTGCGTTCTCCCTCAGTGCCGGGTCCGTAGCGAGGACAGTGCATGCCATGAACAGGTGGTTTATGATCAGTCCGCTACGGTAAGGGCTGCGGCGCGACGTCATACGGTTGCTGCCAGAATCAGTTGAGCTCGGAGAGTCCACAGCCGCGCTGAGTATTGTCGATGCTATTTCGATGACTGTTTCTGTCGAGTTCAGGCACCTCTTGCGAAAGACCTCGAATTGTTTTGGCACATTACTGGCTTGCAGCAATGGTCTCAGCAGTCGCGCCCATCGTGCGTTCAAAGAGATCGTGCCGACAGACCGTTGGAAAGCTAGCGTTTGCGCTGTGGCGCCCAGAGAGTTCATGTCTGCCGTTGAAACCACGGTTGGAATGTCCAATTGAAGTTGTTCAAAGAGTCGATCCAAGGCGGCGATCTTCGAATATGGTAGATTGTCGATATCCCCAGAGCCCAGAGGCAACGCATCGACGACTTGACGACAGATCTCGCCAAGGCGAATTCGCATGTTCATGTGTAATAGTGCTGTCTCCGCCCACGCACCGTACATAGCGACCATTGGGTCGGAGTCTGCAATGTAATGAGGATAGTTTACCTGCATGTGTCTTGGGTTGACCGTATATATCCTACCGGGCGGGCCTCCCATAGCGCCCAGGAGCCTGTGACATTTGAATCAGAGTCAAGAAATATTGCAGCGAGACAACGACGCTAGTAATTGACTCACCAGTCCGTCGAGGCTAGATACCACCATACGCGTCTCTTCATCTCGCGGTAGATGCTGGTGTCCCCGTCCTCGTGGCCTGGTAGATCAATCAGGTGCAAGCCCATCTCATAAGCCGCCGCGCGAGCACCACTTTGGATGTAGCGAAAGCGAGACGAGGTGCCTTCCATGTTGTAAATCAGATCTGCAAGGATCAGCCTGCCAATAATGGCATCCAGTGAGTTCAGAGCTGCCCGTTGAGACTGGTCCAACAAATCGAAGGCGGATGCTCGCCATACTTGGGAGTAGGCGGCGGCGTTCTCTTCTGACAGGAAGCTGAAACCACAGGGAAATTCCTGGTCCCAGAAGAAAGCGGTCGCAGCACAGAAGCTGAGAACAAAAGCTACAGAGGCAAGGTTGACCTTCTCGCCCTGTCGCAGCTGCGTGTACATTTTGGCAATCGTGGCCTGCGCGGTTGGATAGTGGATGAAGTTGACGACGTGGAAGTCTGTGTTGTCAAGATAGTCCTTGAAGAGAGCCACAGCATCCTCCCGGGAAGGAATATCTATGCATCTCAGCGAGGAGCGTCTGGGATTCGAAAATTCGCCACTGCTTGTGACACGGAACGTGAACAGGTCACAGTCATCAATAACCTTAGAAAGTGCTCGCCCGTTAATAGCTGTTCTGTGGCACGTTTCCCCTTGGCGTGGAGCAGCCGCGGGGCCGCAGGCACAATCAACGGTTCATTGCTGCTTACCGGAGCGGCAAGATTATAGTCCAGCTCCGCCGAGGTTTTACACCGAGCCCTGCTAGAATTTGACACAGGCTCCTCGTCAGGACTTGAGCCCGGCGGCTGAGCTGAAGCGACAGTGCTGACGTCGGTTGGTGCAGTCGGCGTGGCGGGGCCGAAGACGGCTTCCTCGAGCCGGTGCAGCCTTTCCAAGACCGCATCCGGGCCTGCTGCACTCTTGCTGCCCAGCGCGGTTACTCAAGGGCATTCAAGGTCAAGCGAGACGGAATAAAACCTACCCCAGACCAAGAGTACGCGGCGGTGGCGAGGTTTGGCCCTCACACTGGATACCGCGAGTGGTGCAGTTGGCGCATGGCTGGCCACGGTCACACTTCAGCTTCTTGGAGCGGCAGAAATTGCAGCTGGTTTGAGGCTGTCGTCGGCGTCGGGGGGTGTCCTGGTCTGCGGCTACCGTTGTGGGAGATATTCGTCGCTTCATGGCCGGAGGTTCCGTGGAGTGTGAAGGTAAGTCGGATCGCAGGAGTGGTGAGCTGAGAGTGAATGCTCCTCGGATGATCCGGACTGGATGGAAAAGCGTGGAACAAAGCGGTTTAGGTGAAGGGGGGTCCTGGACAGTGGGTCTACCAGGTGAGTCTAGCTGCGATGGGAAAGGCCTGTCAACTGTCCAGAGGCCGCTAAAGACCAGTCAGTAAGTCAGTCAGCGCCTGCGGGACAACATCCGTGGAAGCCCCGAGTTTCTATTCCCAAATATCAAACACGTCTCAAGCGAGCAGAAAATGGATGTCTGGATTTCTACAGAATGCACCAAGCGCGTATAGACACTCTTCATTACGTCTCATTAATTTCACAGCGCATTTCTTCAAGAAATCCACGCAAGCGAAAATGCCAGAACAGCCGGTTGACGAAAAGTCGAGGTATGTATTATCCACTAACCCTCTGACTATGAAGCATACTTCTTATTTGTGTGCAAGATACTGGCAGCACATTCTGACGTTGTCGAATCAGCGTACGCTCTTACCTGGTGGTCGCTGGAGCATCTCTATCACTATTTTCCAGCGTCGGATTTCTCAACTCGTTTGGGGTATTTGAAGTATACTACAAGACAAATATGTTGCAGGATAAATCAGAGTCAGACATATCTTGGCTCGGTTCAGTGTCAATATTTATGCTATACATGCTGGCACCTCTGACCGGCGTTGTTGTTGACAAAATCGGCCCAAGGGCGAGTACCTTCTCTTTCCTTTCCATCTTCCTGGCCCCGGACAGACCGCACGGCCGCATTCCAATGATGATGTACTCCAGGCTCCGATTGCTAAGCTGTTGCCTGATGCAAAGGATTACTTGAGTCTCAATATTGAATCACGACTAACAGCGAAGTATAGGTGCTTCTTTGCGGCGGGAGTCTGGGCGTCCTGATAGCCGTTTTCATGACCTCCTTGTGCACCCGCTTTTACCAGTTCTTTCTCGCGCAAGCCCTGCTTCTCGGTATCTCAATGTCCTTCGTGACATGGCCACCTGTTGCGGTTGTATCTCGCCATTTGCCGCGGCACAGGGGTCTGGCTCTGGGGCTAGTGATCAGCGGCTCATCTCTCGGAGGTCTCGTCTGGCCCATCGTTCTGCAGCAGCTTCTTTATCATACAGGCCTCGGTTTTGGTTGGACGATGCGAGTTGTGGGCTTCACCATGTTGCCATTGCTGGCCGTTGCCTGTCTGATTGTGGTTGAGGCTCCTCAGGACAGACCACGGCCGTTGGCTCCCACCGAGCATGGGGAGGCACAAGAGACGCTTGAGGAGAAGCCCCCAAAGAGCAGAAAGACGGATTTCTCAATCGTGAAGAAGCCGGAATTTGTCTTCCTCTGCGCTGGCCTCGCAATCGGCTACCTTGGACTCTTTGCTCCTTTTTTCTACGTTTCGTCCTATGCAGTGGCCAAGGGAGTGTCACCTTCGATGTCTTTTTATTTGATTTCGATTCTCAATGCTGCTTCGCTCTTCGGGCGAGTTCTCCCTGGTGTCCTAGCGGATAGGTGGGGACACTTCAACTTCATGGTTGTAGCGCTGGGAACATCTGCTATCGTTGGCTTCTGTTGGACTGCAGCGACAAGCCTGCCTGGGCTGGTTGTTTGGTCTTTGACATACGGTTTCACATCTGGAGTAAGTATTACCCATGGAAGCTTTCAAGGCTTGTAGCTAACGCTTACAGGCCGTGATGAGCTTGCAAGGTGCATGCTCCGGTAAGATTGCCACCCGGGAAACGCAAGGTACCACAATCGGGCTGGTGACTGGATCTATCTCCATAACGTAATTACCTTCAATATTTCCTCAGCTTGATCTTAGGATGATGGAACTAACTTTGATACAACAGAGTCCTCGTTGGCACCCCAATTGCTGGCCAACTGGTTGCCAATGGCGGGTATCTGGCTCTTTCAATGTTCACAGGAGCGACTCTTGCAGCTGGCTCAATGATAGTAGCTCTGCCTAGACTACGGTTGGATAGACACGTCATGGCCGCTGTGTAAACATCTCGTGATCACATTCTTGGCCAGTGGCATTCTGGGTTGCGACAGTCTCCTAGCAGTGGAATTGTTCTAATGAGAAGTTCTGTATGGACAGCAAGAGGCTACGAGTCACAAAGTCTTCCTGGAGAACCAGAACACCCGAAGGGAATTTGCGGCTGAGCAATGCGGTGACATGAAATTCGCAAAGATTCAATAAAATGAGTCTGGGCTGCTTGCATGACAAACAAAAGATGTCTTTTTCAGCTGAGTTGCAATCACCAGAGAAGGCAATGGACCTACCTAACTTACACATAACGCATGTGCCCATACATGAATATGCCTGAACTCATTTGCATGCGCAGGTAGTATACCTATCCCCATGAAAAGTCTCCTGACGACCGTCTGGCATGCGAAAAGATGCACCACCGGTTGATCAACAGAGTCAAATATGGCCTGTGTCTGTAAATGTTGCGGTTCATCTCGAGACTTTTGTTGTATTACTATATGTAGTATAATACCCACTTAATCAAAATCGAATCATTTGCAGGGAGGCGATGGGATGCAATTGTTTGGAGCGGGCACCATGCCATCCAAAGGTGCCTTACTCCAGATGCTGTTCATCTACTGTTTACCCACCTGCCCTCACTTTCGCTGCCTACACCATCAATACCCACAACTACTTCCCAACTTGTGCTGCGTCTCTTTTGCTCTCCACTACCTACCTGATGAAGCACTGAAAGAGCCAGTGGATCTTCAAAATTAAAAAGCCGCTCGTTTGGCAGTGCTGCCTCAAGTGGCGCGCTCCACGATCGCGAGCACGTGCCAGACAATCAACATCGTGTTGGGGTTAGATCAACATTGTACACCTCTGCCAAGGTCATCGAGGTGTCATGAAAGCGTCGGAATCTCTTGAAGAAAGATAGCAAGCTTCCATGTAATCACTGTCCTTCCTCAACTGTGGCCCCAGCGGCCCCTGACGCAGCAACTGTGCGTGTGCCGACCAACACGTCCCTTCTTGGGAACATCAACACAAACCGTGGCGGCCTCATTCACCATCACCCTTCACAAGTCCATTCACTTGTCTAAATCATACAACCGTGTAAGAGTGAGTACTGGCCACGAGTCCCCACTACCATTGGTGACGATCTTGTCACCACCAGCACTGATGCTCACGGTGTCCCACGACCCTGTAACATCTTCTTTTACTTTGCAACCATTCACACGTACTTGGCCTACCGGGCCAGACTGGAGCAATACTTAAGCCCAGCATCTCTTGCAATTTCCATCTCAACGACAGACTTCCTTTCCACCCAAAACATCTGTTGTGTCGACAAGGATACTGTCACCACCAGTCCTGATCTCAGCAGTTGACGCAACAGCCGTCTCCCAGAGTCTTCTCGCCCTTTCTTTGCAGGGGCCTCTTCTCAAGCCGAGCATTTCGAGAGCAACTTCTCCTCGGTTTTCTCACCAGCCAAAGTCCTGCTCTCTGTTCTCTGTGCTCTGTCGAGTACATTCCCTATCGCAAGCTCACCTTCGCTTGTGTTGGGGCTCTGCACCGACTTCTGCCTCCCTTCCAACACATCCCATTGATCAGCCTTTTTCTCTTATCATACTCGCAAAAACACGCAATGGCACCTTCTAAGCCAGCCGCATCCAGCTCGGCTGCGACCCCGAAACCATCATCAGGAAGGCCGAAGATCTTCGGTGGCGGTACCAGGCACTCCACTCGGATCGAGAAGAAGAATGCAGTTGAAAACGACCGTACCAGGAAGCAGAACCAGGGCTCAACGGAGGCCGAGCCCGAGGAGAACGTGCAACCGCAGCGGGCCAGACCTGGCTTCCAATCTACCGAGACGCAGTCTTATCGCAGGTCCAACCGAAAAGCACTCCCCAGCGACAGGTGCCTCCGAAGCATAAGAGCCCCCCGGAGCACAACGGCAGGGGCCACAAACAGAGATGCATTTGTGGATGACGGTGAAAATGAGAGCAGACAACCTGCGCAATACCACACAATCTCAGAGGGAGGGCCGAGGCTCAAGAACACCGCCGAACTGATCGTGGAGACAGACACATGGGAGAATTTCAGAATCCCTTCCAACAACATCATCGCCAACGAGGACGTGGACACGATGGTTTACCAGCAGATGCGACGCCTCGCCAAAGATGGAAACCTGACACCAAATGGCGTGCGCGGCCATCTGATCCGTAGCGTCGAACAGTTTGAGGCCTGCTGGCGTAAACGGAGACAGTCGCGCCCCGTATTTTGGGAGCGCGCGTGCGCGTGTACGTCTGGCACGTCTGGCACATGGATGAACCAACTTAATGGTCCCGATTGTCGCCAATTCTTTCTCTGGTTGCTCTTCTACTTCAGGCACGGCTCGGGCAGAAAAGGGGCCAATGATCTGATCAGAGCCTTCGAGAGGCTGGACCAGCTGTTCAAGGAGGAAGAGAAGGAGAAGGCCAACGAGCTGGACGAGCTCGACGGCGTCCAGCGAAGGCTCCGAGCGCCGGCCAACCGGTCCCTGGCCCGCAGTAATGACCGTACCGCGGTCGGTCGAAGTGCTGCCCCGAAGAAGAAAGGCAGTAATACCATGCCCGAGGACGGAAACATCTTTCGCTGGTCAGGAGATACCAATATGACCGACTTTGAGCTCTCTGGAATCGATGTGGAGGGGCTCACGCCAATCGTGGACGTCGGTGGTAGGCGGAAGAAGCGTGAGGAGTGGAACAGGATGTTTTATGAGGAGTTGGGAGCGGATAGAGAGAGGATCAGACAGGAGGAAGCGGGAAAAGCAGCAGGGGAACAAGCTGCAGCACAGGAAGCAGCTGCGGCACCCAAACCCCAGCTGACGACACAGGGCAGGAAGCGAAGCTCTCGGAAGCGCCCAAACCCTCCTGAGGTGGACAATCTGATGCCAGAGATGAACCAGCAGAACGCTGCCAAGGCCGGCAGGAAATTCTCAGAGTTCGAGGAGGACGAGGAGGACGATGACGGGGAGGAGGAGGAGGAGAGGCTGAGAGCAGCAGCTCTGAAGAGGCAAAAACTCCTCGAGAGGCACGCAGCAAGGGGTGGCCCCAAGAGCGACTGATCGCCGGAACAGGGAGTTCTGCTGTATCAAAGAGATGGTCTTGACTGCTCGACACTGTTCGATGAATCACTTGTCGATGGTAGGCTCGCGGCCACCCACAGCATCTTGGATTCCGCCATTACATCATGGGACCGAGGGACTGTAGACAGCAGAGGTGTTCTATTTGGCTCAGTCAGTCTGAGAGATAGATGTCATGAAGGGGGTTTGGCTGCCCCTTGGGCTGAGCAGGAGAAGGGACATGTGTACATCACGGAGCATACAGCCTGTGGTTATTGTTGCTATTTTCATGGTCCTTGTTGTCGCTATGGCCAACGATAGGATGGACGGGAACTGGGGGCCAGGCAGGCCTGTACGCAATACAAACATGCTGTTGTGACACATTGTGCTGCTCGATGCAGTGATGATTAGACGTGCTGTCTTGTGTGTGACATGTGTGCTTGGGCCTCCCGTCCAATATGGATCTGGAATCTGGATCTGCACCTTGCAGTAGATCTGGGCCCTGGGACCTGGGCTCTGAGCTGAGCCAATGTGATGGCGTGTGATCCTGGATGACAGCTGACGTTTTTAGCGTGGTCGCTTGGCCGCCAGTTGCCGGGGATGCGGGAAGCGACCGCGACACCGGCGCCGTTTATCGCTTGGCGGCCGGGGACCCTCACACGCCTCGCTCTCTACTGGGGTTGGGGCGTTGGGGCGTTGTGCGGCCCCGGCACAGGCACAAGGAGAGGCCAAGTCCCAGGGCGTGCAGGCGTGACAAATGCCCCCAGAACCCCTCCGTCGCCGACCCAACTTTTTAGTCAAGTTCCCTCTCACAACGGCTTCAAGTCGATGCGCCTTTGCTTGGCTGACAATTAACAATCTGGTTTTGTGCTTGGAGGACTGAATGGTTGACTAACCAATTGATCCCCTGGCTGGCTAGCTGGCCGTCGCTGCTCTATGGTGACTGGTTTCTCTCTGACTCGGCCGCCCAACAACCTGCGACAGGCCCATAGCAGACTAGAGTCTGCATACCTACTTCACCGTCCCTTTGCCGCCCGCCTGCATTTCGCCATCCGTCCCTTGCCCCACGAACAGTCCAGACGAAAGAATCGAGACAGACGGCATAGTCGATACACATTGCGGCCAAGCCTACATGATTTACGAGACGCAGCATCGGACGGCGCAGACGGTGATGTGATAGAGACATCTGTGTCCTCCTCCTCCACCACCACCACCACCACCAGCACCAGCACCAGCAGACATGGCTTCCAACAACTCTCGAACGCCCTCGGGCAATGCCACGACCAACCCACACGCGCCTTCCACCCCCAGCGGACTGCGTAGGACCTACACCGCCAGCCCGGGCTCCTTGTCCTCGAACTCCCCCTCGAACTCGTCCACTCCCGACGTTCAAGGCGGCTCTGCCTCCCGAGATCCCTCCCCTCCCAGACGCCCCGGCCATTCGAGAGCGCCCTCCGAAACAACGGCCCTGCTTCGAGATGCTCTGGACCGCGACCATGCCCACGAGGGGCCCTGCAGTCACGGCACCTTCTCCCCGCAGCCTTCGAGTCCCACCAACGGCTTCAGCCGCTCTGTCAACGCGTCCCTGAACGGCTCTCGCGCGCCGTCGCCCGGTGCCTCGTCCGAGAGCTCGCTGCCAATAATAGATAGTGTTGTCGCCTATGTGGCAGCCAAGGGCGCCCCGGACTGGAGGAAACGATGGGCGAAGCGCATGAGGACAAAGACCATGGGGAGGTCCAGCGAGCTAGCCGAGAGGCACGGCGTCAAGGACAACGCCTTCATGTGCGTACACGATGCCAACGGTACCGCAGATACCCACGACTGACATCACACGCAGGTACCTCTCTTACTACTTCCCGGCCCTGATATGGCTGCGCCAGTACAAGCTCTCCTTCCTCAAGGGTGACTTCATTGCCGCTCTGACCATCGCCGGCATGTATCTGCCAATGGCCCTCTCCCTCGCTGACACCCTCGCCCACGTCCCACCAATAAATGGCCTGTACTCCTTTGTCTTCAATCCCTTCCTGTACGCCGTTCTGGGTACTGCCCCTCAGATGATCCTCGGCCCTGAGGCTCCCGGGTCATTGCTGGTGGGAAGCGTCGTCAAGGGCAGCGTCGAACTTGGCCGTGGCTCTGACGATGACGCAGTCATGCATGCCCAGATCTGTGGCATCATCGCTGGGACAGCCGGGGCCACCATCTTGTTGTCAGGCCTGTTCCGTCTGGGATTCCTCGATAGCGTGCTCTCAAAACCATTCCTGCGTGGGTTCATCTCGGCCATTGGATTCGTCATCTTCGTGGAGCAGTTGATGCCCGAGTTGGGCTTGGCCCAGCTGGCGGCTGACCACGTCGGCCATGGGAGCACCATGGACAAGTTGACCTTCATCTTGACACATACCGGTGACGTCCATGTCCTCACTGCTGTCATATCCTTTGTCAGCTTCACCATAGTCATGACTTGCAGGTACGACTCCCTCTCAACAGCCTGCTCTCACCGTCCTAGGCCTGAACACGCTGACATCTTCCAGGGAAATGAAGAAGAAGTTGCAACCGCGCTACCCGAGCTTGGTATATATTCCCGACCGTCTGATTGTTGTCGTGTTATCGGCCATTTTGTGCTACTTCCTCGACTGGGAAGAAAAGGGCGTTGCAATCATGGGCGAAATCAAGGCGGCGTCGGGCCACGTCTTCACCTTCAGGTGGCCTTTCCAGCTGTCTCATATGACGCATATCAGGGATGCCATGGGCACCTCCTTTCTTATCGCACTACTTGGGTTCTTCGAATCTTCTGTCGCCGCCAAGAGTCTAGGCCCCAGCAAAGACGTTCCTGGCATACAGCTCAGTCCCAACCGGGAGCTCGTGGCATTGGGCACTGCCAACTTGATCGGTGCTTGCTTCATGAGCATGCCTGCCTTTGGAGGCTACGGTAGGAGCAAGGTGAACAAGCAGACGGGCGGGAAGACGCCAATGAGCTCTGTGTTCTTGAGCGGTCTGACCGTCATCTGTATCTTCTTCATCCTGCCCTACTTTTACTACCTTCCGGTGAGTAAATACCTGGCACAATACTGCCTGCTGCTCTTGTGTGCCATGCGTTTGTATCTGACGCGAGCAGAAACCCGTACTTTCCTCTCTTATCACAGTAGTCGCATATTCCCTAGTCGAAGAAGCACCCCACGACATCGCGTTCTTCCTCCGCATCGGGGCCTGGCCCGAGCTCGGTCTCATGTTTGTCATCGTTTTAACTACTATTTTCTATTCTCTGAACATGGGCATCGCGGTCGGCATCGGCGTCTCGCTTCTGCAGGTCATCCGGCACGCCACCCGGCCCAGGATACAAATCCTGGGGCGCATCCCGGGCACCCAGCGATTCGAAAACGCAGAGGACAACCCCGAGCGGTTGGAGTTTGTTGAGGGCTGCTTGATCGTCAAGATTCCGGAGCCGCTGACCTTCGCCAACACGGGCGAGCTCAGGACCAGGCTCAGGCGATTAGAGATGTACGGCACGGGCAAGGCGCACCCTGCGTTACCCCGTCTCCGCCACGAAGACAGTAACAGGAACATCATCTTCGATATCCACGGCGTGACCTCGCTCGATGGGTCTGGCACGATGGTGCTCGAGGAGATAGTACGGACGTACCGCGAGCGCGGAGTACGGGTCTTCTTCAGCCGGTGCCCGAACCGCGGTAAGGCCAACAGTAAGGTGTGGCGGCTTATGGTGCGCAGCGGCATCGTGGACCTCGTGGGCGGGGAGGGCCAATTTGTGGATGACGTGCAGGACGCTTTGAAGATGACGGAAGTAGAGGATGGTGGGGAGGCGGTCGTCTCCGGGGAGAGGGGACGGACCATGGCGGAGAGAGATGCTGGGGCAGAGTAAGCTATTTCGTGGTCTGGACATTCCGAGGAAAAATAGACAATGTGTGTGGAAATGGTGTGTAGATGGCTGGATGGGTAGATGTGTGTGTGTCTTTGAACGGCACTTGGATACATACATTACGACATGGGTGGGCCGGCGTCTTGCATAGTGGTGTGGATTGTGTGGTGCATTTGTTTAGCCTGCGAGATAGATATCCAGAAGAGCATTGTGGTTTCTGTCATGATTTACACTCCGTCAAAGTCTATAGGAGAGTAGTATCTCGGATATGCTCAATTGCCGCCATTCCCTTGCGACTCTCATCTTATAATTAGGGATCTTACTTACCTTGCTAGATCTGCCTGTCTTGCCCATGTTTAGTGTTCAAGGGGGTCAAGAGTTTACACGTGAGTGACAGCATTTGTACGTTTTCGTTTCATTTCCCCCTCAATGTTTTTTTGGCGGGAAACTGCGTTGTAACTCTGGAGTTGTCTTCGATATGCTACAATTATTCCTGGTCCATGCTCGCGCAGTTCAAGCCAGAGCCGTCTCGAATCCCTTTACGCCCTGTTGCTCATCTTCACTTAGAGTAATACCAAAATATTCTCTCAACGCCTGTACTCGCTCCTCCTCTGAACGACATACCTTCACTATATCGGTCTTGCCTCCAAGGTTTCTCTTAACCACCCCATCCGCAAGCATAATCTTCCCACCCGTTTCTACTTCTGGGATCATAATATTACCGGAGTCAGACTTATCTGCAGCCTCTATCAACCCTTGACCAGAGTCCCTAAGGAACTTGACCACAAGGATCTGTTTCCGCTGGAAGCTCTCGGGGTGCGACGAGACCCAATAATTGGCACACTCTAGATCCCAACTCGAAGCCTCGCGGTCGCCAAACGCAAAGTACCTGTTCCATTCGTCCTCCGGACGGTTGCGGTACTCGTAAAACCACACCTTGTTGCCCTCCCCATCCGAGACGGCACCGGGGTACAGGCCGCGCGTGATCCTCACCTCCTGCGACCCCAGGTTCCTGTGCACCGGGTACTCGCGCCCAGGCTCGAGACCCTGGAGCAGCGGCAGCGGAGCCGTCATACCGTCGCCGCCGAACCCAACGTCCGTCACCCAGCGCTCGGGGCCGAACTCGACGACGGTGACGACATGGCGCGGGCCGACGAAGTCGCCCTTGGGCACCGGCCCGTCGCGCAGGCGGATCGAGGCCTGGCAGTGGTAGGCTGTGAAGCCGAGGCCGCGCAGCATGTTCAGCCAGAAGACGGCCGTCTCGAAGCAGTAGCCTCCCCGCCCGCGGCTCGGCGGGCCGACGAATTTCTGGTACAGTGCCTGGGGGTCGATGTCGTTGATGTGGCGGGGGTTGTAGTGCAGCGACAGGTTCTCGTACGGGATGGTGGTGATTTGCAGGCGGTGGAGGAGGGTGAGCGCTTGCGGGTTGCGGGGGAAAGACAGCGGCAGCGGGAAAGAGACGTGGTCCAGGTAGGTGAGGATCTGGGAGGGGGTGTAGGCCGAGCGAAGGGGTGTGTGCTGGAGTGTGGAGACGCCCTCGGCGCTTTGTGCGTGCGTGGTCATCGTCAGCCCCCAACGTTGTCGAAAATGGACAGCCCGGGCAAGAGGTTGGTTGTGACTTGAACAATGTGATGAGTTGAGGATTTCAGTATGAAGTTTGCACACATGGAGAGACCGTGAGTCAGGCCGAGGTCGACTGTGTGATGGACGTGGAACAATTCTTTCCTAGCGGATTACGCAATCGCGATCCCGTGTAGATTGACCAGTGGCATTACACGAAAGTTGAGAGGGCATCCTTGGCAACTGCCTCCTGGGTGGCTCTCACTGAACATTGGTGAGTTGGAGAAACCTGTCCTGGGATATCACCTTGATATCCATCGACAGACGAGCAAGAAATAAGGATTGCAAGTTTCACTGAGCGCCGATGCCAAGCAGACATCCTGGTTCTATCATGTGGAGTTACCGTGATGCACAGTATCCCGCTTGGTGGGCATTCCCTCAGCATGTCTCGCGGTACATCGCGACACTCGAACGGATCGTGTGTAAGCTTATAAATCATGCCTCTTAAGCAATACCTAGGCAGTTTCTCATATGTTTTATAGGCAGTAAACTGAGTCTCTCTGCTCTGGTACGTCTTATTACTTGCCTATACTAAATTATACAGGCTCAAGTCTGAAAAAAGAACATAACAGGGAGCATATTAAACCTTATGAGCAATATTTTAATAATAAAGCAGCTAAAGTTAAAAAAGGTGTAAAGAAGCACTAAAGCTTAAGAGAAGGGATATGACTAGAAGCTTGGTTCTAAGTGTGCTACACTAAAGAGCTTAAAGGCGCGGCCCTTGTGGTTTGCCCGGTCCAACTAGCATACCACGGTACAGCCAACGGATATGATCATGCAGAATTGGCAAAATCAACCAATCAGAGGTCGATTAGCTCAGCTGGTTAGAGCGTCGTACTAATACTTCCTTGAATAAGGAAATATGTGTAATGCGAAGGTCGCGGGTTCGATCCCCTCATTGACCATTTTTTTTGTTTTACAAGATAGTTTTAAGGATTTCAAGTTGTTTATAAGTTAAAGTTCATGGAAATAAGATTTATAATTATTAATTTTATATTTATTAATTTTTTTAAACCTTTTCTTATTTAATATATAAAAATTAAATAATTTTTAAATACATAAAATTTTAAATATTTTTTTATTAAAAATAATATAATTAATATTAATTTTAATTAAAAATATTTAATTTATAAATAATTTTATTTATTATTATAAGTTAATCTTGCTTTATTATTTATTAAAATTATTTACTTTTTTAAAATAAAAGTTTAAGATTTTATAATATATTTATAATATTACTTTTATTTATATAATGTAGTTTATTATTAAGTAATGAATATTATTAAATAGCGGATTTTTTTAACTTTACTTAACTTTTATTAATTATAATATTATATTAAGGTAAATAAATTAATAAAAAGTTAGCATTAATTAATGCTAATTATATTTAATTCTTTATTTTTAATTAATTTTATTAATTTAAAGGGGCTAAAGGTAGTATAATATAATTAGAAATTATTAAGGTTTTAATAAGATAAGTTGTTTTTAATATTAATTATATTTTTAATTTTTACATTAATCTTGCATTAATTTATTTACTTAAATATTTAATGCATAAGAAATTAATAATAAAGATATATATTCTTTATTTAAAAAAAATAAAATATTTTTAGCTATTTAAGCTATTTAATACTTTAAAAAAATTATATTAAACCCTTACTTATAACTTAAGCTATTAAGATCTTTAATATTCTTAAAATAATTTTATATTATAAAATAAATTAATAATATAATTTTAAAGAATTATACATTAAATAATATAAACTTAACTTAATTAAAAAGTAAATGCTTATTTAATATATTATTAATTAAAATACTTAAAAATTCTCTTTATAACTTTTTAATATAAAAAATATAGCTAACCTTTTATTAGCATTTTAAGATAATAAGCTTATAAATAAGCATTAAGCTTAATGCTTTATAAATTTATAACTTAATTTAAAGATTAAATTTAATTATCCTTATAATTATTAAAAAGCTCTTTATAAAGATTTAAAAATTATTAAGAATTAATTTAAGCTTTTTTTTAATATAATAGCTAAGTATTAAATTATTAATAATAATCTTTATAACTTTAATAAGATTAGCTTTATAATAAGTATAATTACCTTATTAATAATTATTATATATATTAATAAGTATAAAAAGGTTAAATTAATTTAGCTTAATAATTAAAAATAAATAATTATTATTAAATATATTAATATAAATAAATTATAAATCTTATTATTTATAATTATTTAAGGCGCTTATTATTTTATTAGCTAAGTAATAAAATTAAGTTTTTTAAATAATTAAGTTATTAAGCTTATTCTTAATAAATAAATAAATAATAAGATTAATTTAAAATAAATTTAATATTTTAATAAATATATTAAATTAAAGAAAGATATTAATTATTAAATATTAATTATAAATAGTTATAAAAGCTATATATTAGTTAAGTTTAATTAATATTATAAAAATAATAAAATTATTATTATTAATATATTATTATATTTATTTTATTTACTTTAATTATTAAATATTATATTATATTTACCTTTAAAGTATATATATAGCAATAAAATTAACCTTTTTATTTAGGCCTTTATTAATTATATTATTAAATTTAAGTTCTTTCTTATATTTAAGGTAGCTTATAATAAAACTTTTATAGTAAAAAATATTAAGTTTGCATTTAAAAAAGCTAAAATTTCTTTTTAAGACTTTAATTTTATAATTTTTAAGCTTAATATCCGCTTATAAACTTTAATATAATTCCTTTTTATTTCTCCTTAAAAATAAAAGTTTTAAATATTATTAAATGCTTAATAAATTATTTAATAATTAAGTTTTATTAAAAGCAAGATTTTTATTTATTAAAAAAGCTCTTTTATATTAATTATAAAGATTATTAATTAATTAGCAAAAAGTATATAAATAATGATATACTTACTTATTATAATAAGCAAGCAAATTTATATGCTTTAAAATATTAATATAATACTTATTAAACATTAAAGGGTTAAAAGAACTTAAATATAGCTTAAAGGAATACTTATTATTAAGAAATCTTAAGCTTTTATTTAAAAGAAATAAAAGGGAAAACAGCTAGCTAATAAAATAAGTAGTAATGCTAAGAAGGCAATTCATGGTAAATTAATTAAATAATGGTATAGTAATTGCAGCGAAAATAAGCATAATATAAAAACTTATAAGAAAGATAAAAAAGGGTTTAATTAATTAAATTTTAATTATATTATAATAAATCTAGCTTAATTAGCATTAATTAATATAAATATAGCTATTTTATTAATTTATAGCAAATTACATTTTTAATAATATAATTAGCATTAATTAATATTAAATGTATATTTCTTATTAAAAGTTAACTTATTTAAATTAATATTATATTCACGCTAATACTTTTAAATTAATAAAATTAATTAAAAATAAAGAATTAAATATAGTTAGCATTAATTAATATTAATTGTTATGGGCTAGCCTTGGGTTGTCTGCCGTAAGGTATTTAAATGGGGTTTATATTTAAAGTACAAAGGAGAAGGTTTACTTTCCATTTGCATTTACATTAAAGCTTATTCTTATAGGGCTAAAGCCCATTAATTAATTATAATGAGCAAAGCTTAAACCATAATATATTCTCCTTTTTTAGGTTTTTATAGCGGGCTTTAAAGGGCAGCTATATAATAAAAAATAAAGGATACTATGGTTTAGTTATAAATTAAATATTGCTTTTTATTTAGCCATTTAATTATACCTTAGCGCCTTTTAATTATGCTAAAAGCCTAACTTATTATTTATAATTAACACGCCTTAGCCCTTATAATTTAATATATTAGCTAAAGTAAGTTAATAAAAAATAATTATTTAAGCATAAGCTAGCAACTAAATTAATAGCATTTTTATAATCCTTTAATATAAGCCTTTTATATAAGCTTTTTTATTTAAAACCTTAAAATTATAAATTTATTATATAATTTGCAATTAATTAGCGCTTAATTATAAATAATTTGCTTTATTAATGGGAATTTCTTAAATTTTAAGTATTTCTATAATGCTAAATTAATTGGTATATAGCTGGTTTGCTTTAAGCCTGGATTAGCATTAAGTTAGCATTACTTTTAAGCCCTACCTTATAGGAAAAATTTTATACTTCCTTAAATAAATTCCTTTCCTTTACTAGCCTTAATTAATAAAAGTTGCACCCTTATTCTTTTGCAATAATTAAAATAATTATGCTTATAATAACTAAGTTAGCTATATATAAAATACTTAACTTTATTTATTAAAATTATTATAATATTAATATTTATTACTTTATCATTTTAAGGTTAAATATTATCCTTCCTTATTATAATATTAAAAATATCTTTATATTGCTATAAGGTAAAGCAAAAGGCCTTAAATATATTTAACTACTTTTTATAATTAAGTTAAGCTTTTGCTATAAAGGTTAAGTCATTAATTATTAATAATATTTTATACTTATTTAGCTAACTTTAAGTTTTTGCTATATAAGCTAATTAATTAAATTAAGCAAGAAATTTTGCTATTTTTTCTTTATAGCGCTATTATAACATAATTAAGCTAAGCTTAATATGCTTTTACTTAAAAAGGTTTTTAAGTATAAGGCAAACCTTCTTTAAAAAGCTTTTTAGCTATTCCTTAAATATTTTTATAAAATTAATATAAAGTAAAAATTAATTATAAAAAGTTCTTAGCTAATTAAATATATAAAAGAATTAAGCTCCTTTAGCGCTAATTACCTTCCTATTTATTATAAACTTAGCCCTTATTTTTATTAGTTAAGTTACTAAGTATTCTTAAGATAAGAATTCCTTTAAATAAGAAAGGGCTTAATAAGCTATTATTATTCTTTTTAAGTTTTATTATATTAAGTTTTATATAATTATATTATAAATTTATAATATAAAAGGACTTTAAATATATATTATAGGCTAGCCTTAGGTTGTTTATTATAAAGTATTTAAATAGGGTTTATATTTAAAGTATAAAGGAAAAGGTTTACTTTCCGTTTGCATTCACGCTAAAGCTTATTCTTATAAGGCTAAAGCCCATTAATTAATTATAATGGGCAAAGCCTAAACCGTAACATTAACTTTTTATTAATTTATTTACCTTAACGTAATATTATAGTTAATAAAAGTTAAGTAAAGTTGGAAAAATCCGCTACTTAGTAATATTTGCTACTTAATAATAAACTACGTTAATATAAATATAAATTTTATATAAAGTAAATAATAAATAAAACTCCCTTAATATTTATTTTATTTAATAAAAATAATTTAATAACTTATTATTTAAAACTAAGCTTAATTATATATATAAAATATATTTTATTAAATAAAACTTTAAAGTTATAATATATTTAAATATATAATATATACTTATAATAATATTTTTATAATATATTAATTTTATGGATTTAAATATAAAGGATTTTAAGATAAGTATATATATATATAGTTTCATATAAATTCCTTTCATTTAACACATAATATACAAACTGTGAAACTATTAACGTTCCCGGCCTAGATTCAGCCCACCCCCCAATTCAGCCCACCACATTTTAATGCAAACGCACTAAAACTTACTTACTTTTTAACCCTACCTTATTAATTATAAATTAATTTTAAAACCCTTTACTCTTTTTATTTATATATAAAAATAATTATATATTATATTAAAAAAATAAAAAAATCTTTTATTATATAATAAATTAAATTTAAATTTTTAAAATTATAATTTTAAAATTATTTAAATTTTTAAGGAAATTCCTTATATTATATAATACTTATATTTTAATTTATAATTTATTAATTAACTTATATAAAAATTATTAATATTTTTATTTATTAATAATAAATATATAAAATAATTA